AAGAGCAACGGAGCGTGTTTGCTCATAATTCGGTTATGTGTGAGTACGCGGCACCATCGCTGGCACGCCCACAATCCCCCCCTCCCTTGCAACCGCCCCTCGAGCAAGGAGCTGCCTGCCGAGCATATTGAGTTCTGGTGAATAACGAATGCAATTTATTTGATTGACTGTTTGATTGAATGAAACAGCAAAACAGCAAAAGCAGCAGCAACATCGGCAGCAGTGAGCTCGACCAGGACAAACGGTATGCAGCTCGAAGTGCGATTCACGCAGGACACACAATGGTCCAAGGATCCCTTACACTCAGAAAATGGGGGTGTCGAGATAAGAGGGTAATACCACCATTTTATCAAACTCAGTGCTCAAATAAGAAATTTAGATAGTGCTTACACGCTTAATTTGAAATAACTACAAATACAGAGAGAGATAAATAAAAATACGTGTCTCAGTTAGGAATCCCTATATTTGAAGAATTCGCTTAATTGGCTTGAAGAAGCATTGGAAAAATATTAGATACTTTAAAGTTGTTTTTAATTTTTTCCTTATACTTCTACAGAATAGATAATTTCCAAGAAAACTGCAGTTTTTCTATAAAATTTATCTGTTAATGGCCCTGAAAAAATGTACTTTAGCTATTTACATTTTTGCATATTTAGTTTTTTTAAGAATTCTATTTTTATGTTGATTACTATTTATTATGTGTATAGTAAAGGTAAAAAAATATGTTTACAATTGAGAAATGTAAATTTAAAACAACGAAAATATAACCATTCAACGGCTTTAAAACCATACAACAAAATTTTAAGAAAATTTCTTATATAATAAGTATATGTGTCAATTGTTTTAAGACTTTAATAATGTATAAACTTGTCAATGTTGATCTCAAATAATTTTTCTATGTGTAAATTCGATTTTGTTTATTTTTTTCGAGCATCTCGTTCGTATGTGAAGCGGACATCCATTCTGTGATTGCAGCCTTTTGTTTTTGTTAGATTTTTCAATGGCTTACAAGGAAGCAGAAGGATTAAATTAAAACAAATTGAAACATGAAAGTGAAGTGCTCCACTAATTTACGGAAAGTTATTCGGCTGCCGTTGGCTGCCCGAGGGCAAATCGAACTCGGTATCGGAAGCCGATACAAACTGTTATCAAAAGTGGGGCCAAAGGCGGTCGAACTTTCGGGACCCCGTGCGCATCATCGTCCATCAAAAATCAATTTCAATAAGCGCTCAGTCTTTAGCAAGCCCCCCCCCCACCGTCGAAAAATCCAGAAAAAGCCTAAGGCCGTGGAAAAGTTTTTGCTGATCACTCATTTGATTACCGAAGTAGTATAGTTCGCTTAAAGTTCGTAATTGAGGTATTTTCCCTTGCAGTTATTTATCTTCATTATCGCTTAATACCCGACCGAACTTTCTTTGGCGCACTGCACGGCGAAAGATTCGGCGGTCAGTAATTAGAATTTGGGAACAAGGATGCCGGGAAATGTGTTTTTGGCCAAGTTTTGAGTGCTGCCAAGACCACTTCTAGTTTTTTGTTTCCCCGCTTTGGAACACTTTTTTTTTTGGGGGGGGGGAAAGTGGGGCAAGAGCAGGACAAGTTTCACCCAGTTTTTTATGGCGCCCCAGGGTGGACACAAATCACGGCCAGCAGACAACCAACGGCCATCAACGTCACGGGCGACAATCAGGAAACACACGCCGCTTAAGCAGGGAGATTCGGAGAAAGTGGGAAAGTGAGATGAAGAAGCAGAGAGAGAGACGGAGAATCCCCCCCTCTATGCGTGCCTAGAAAGTACATAGTGGCAGTAATCAAAGCTCAATGGGCAGACAAAGGAAAGTCGACAGAAAGTTGAAAAGTTATTAAAGTTAAAGCAAACACGATTGGAATGTCAACTAGTGAAGCGGTCACTCTAAGACAAGGGATTTTCAACTTTCAGCTGGCTGGCCACTTTGATGAATTGCCGTTTAAGTTGATAGATGAACAGAAAAACGAACTACCTGCCTAATGAACTGTACGGCAGGCTGAATATTATAGTAGTCTCTTGGCCAAAAGTTCGAGCAAACATGTCAAGTTTTTTATAATAATTGCCCGATCATTTGGGCCAGCCAGCCAGCTATCTGGGTCTCAATTTCATTTTATTGCATTACGTATACGCCATATTAATTTCGGATCATGAAAACAACATCAACAAGAGAACTTTCTGCGAAAACAAGACCGAAGCGCAAAAATAAAGCAGAAAAGCAGAAAACTTTTAATATTTTCTATGGCAAAACTCACTCAGACTCAGCCGGCTTGCCTTGCTGGAAACTTTTCACATATGTATACAAATCCTCGGCTCTGCTGTAGAATTTAATTAACAAATGCCACAAATTTATTTGCCCGGCCTAAAAAGCCTCGCCGCCGAGAGAAAGCAGGCATCTCTTTATTCTGGGGATTATTTATGGCTGGCACACTTGTTGAAAGCTGAAAGCTGGCAGTGGAAATGGAAGTGGATGTGGAAATGGGAATGGGAATGGAGATGGCAAGTAGACCTCCTCCTCGGGGGCTGGGGAAATGCAAATGCAAATGCAACACTTCAAAGGGAGCGCCTGTCATCGCCCGCTGACGAAAATATTCCCACAGTCATTTCGCCAGGCGGCCACATCCAAATTAAATGAGAAATGACTGAGATAATCTCGACAGCATCAGATAACCAAAGTGCTTCATTAAATGCCGCAAAGATGCCGGTTAATTTGCCAAGGCATTTCAGACTGTTATGGGATTATTTCTTGACCTTGTGGCAGGTACCAGTTTTAGCAGGAATTTAAATTTTGTCATTTTCCTGAAATCATTTAATATGTTTTCAATTAAATATTTAGTTATCCCAATTTTACTACAACCAATTTATAATTGGAATGTGTATTTATATTTCAAATTTACCAAGTTCGTGGAAGCTGGAAAAGGCTGTAAGTATAGGGGAAAACAAAATGTAGGCATAACAGATTAATAATTTAAGATTGAACATAAATAGGTACTATTTAATTTTTATTATTTTTCCCTACATTTTTGAAGTGTTATACATTAATATGTATTTTTGAACAATATTTTTAGCTTGGAAGTTGAGTTTCTTGTGTAATATTTAAAACAAATGCATGTCAATATTATTTGAGTTCTCCTTTTGAGTGATTTTCTTCTTCGTAAAATCGTACTTTCTAGGCATCCCAAAGAATTTGCAATTTAATTTAAATATTTAAAAGATTTTTTTGAATTTTTTAAGTGTTGTACATTAATATGTAGGTTTGAAAAATATTTTTAGCTTGAAAATTGAGTTTGTTGTGTAATCTTTAAAACAAATGATTGTCAATACTATTTATATTCTCATCTTAAGTGATTTTCTAGTCCAAAATAAGTACTTTTTAGGCATCCCAAAAAATGTACGATTTGGTTTAAATATTTAAAAGATTTTTTAAGGGCACTCGTCACTACTTAAAAGTGCATTATCGAAAGAGTAGGGTTATGACCCGGTGACTGGACAAATGTGGCAACATTTTCGCTGGCCACCGAGTTTCGGAGATTTTTTTTTGTTTCTACTGCTGTCAAAGTTTGTTGCAATTGGAGCAGCGAACAAAGTTGCCATCCCCATCCGCAGTTATGTTCCATTGCCATCCGAAAAGCCAACCACCCAAGGCAACATAACCCACTTCAGCAAGACTCTGAGGTCAACAAATGTAATATTGTCTGGGGGCTTAGCCTGACATGCTTGTGTCTCAGTTGTGTTGCTGTTGCTTACAATTTTTGTTGACGTTGCGCTAAGCAGCGGAAAAAAGTTACTTTTCGACTTTGGCGCCTGGAGTTGAAAGTTTTCCCTCATCTTCCGCCGCACTGCATTCGCATTTGGAGCCCACAAAAGTATGCCACAGATATTAACAAACGCGAAAGGTTCGGGTGGTGTGTGTGTGTGTCTGTGTGGAGGGGGGTTTAAGAGGTATGGAGACTGGGACTTGGAAATGGGCGTGGCCCAGTTAGGGTTGCTGCGACTGATGGCTGCTGGCATTGAATTGACGCTCATGATTATTTACGCAAAGTGGATTAGAAAATTTTTATGGTTTCGATAAGCCGCAAATTAATTTTCCGCACAGACAGCTTCCGACAGAGAGAGAAAGAGACTTAGGGATAGTATGGGTGTGTGGGCGTTTTGGGCGTGGCAGCCATTCACAGTTACACACAGTGGCAGTTATAGCTACAGATACAGATACAGATACAGATACACACACTCTAAGGACGAAGCCATCTAAGGGCGGACCAACCGTCTGTCTCCAAAGCCAAAGGCGCAAATGGAGCGAACAGAGAGGAAACCTAATAGAATTTAATTTCGAATAATTCCCACTAAATGTTAAAGATCAAGCTCTGCGACTGGGGATAGCCGGGCAGTAAATTATGGATGCTGCTCGATGTTTTCCCTTTGGCAGACACTTTTTGGGCAGTTGATTGCCCCTTAAGATGCGGCAAGTGCCATAAAAGTAGGCCGAGTTCTTAGGATGGTCCATTATAGTTGGTAGAAATAAATTTAACTTAAGTGAAATTAAAAAATTATTCCATTATTAGTCATACATTAAAAACGCTATAGTAGAGTGTCTCGACTATCAGATACCCGTTACACATCTAATCAACTTCGAAATAAATATACTTCTTACATTTTATCTACTTTACATATTTATTTTACATATTTTCGGCATACCGGTAGGTATTGACCAGCAGAAATATCTTTGAAAATGTCTGCCCCACTTTCGCTGCGCAAGAATCTCTAGAACCTACAAGCCTAATACCAACTTTCTAGCTTTTATAGTTTCCGAGATCAGCGATCATACGGACAATTTTGGGAGGGGGCTATGGGAATGGAAAGGCTTTTTTTTTCTGCTAAATACTTTTACCCGAATTCAATATACCCGTTTACTCTTCAAGTGACGGGTATAAAAATAAAAAGCACAGATATTAAGAAATAATAAGATTTGATGTTCCAGATGAAATGTTATATATATGTATGCATTAGCTGTTGCTGGTGTGTTTGATGTTCCAGTTAAAGTGTTAGGTATATGTATGCATTAGGTGTTGCTGGTGTATTTGATGTTCCAGTTAAAGTATTAGATGTATGTATGCATTAGGTGTTGCTGGTGTGTTACATGTTCCAGAAAATGTGTTATGTGTATGTATGCATTATCTGTTGCTGGTGTGTCTATGGTCTATGCCGGATTTCCAATTGCTCATCCTTCCTAACTCCAAGACACCCTTACATTCTTACTCCTGGGATTCTGGGTTAGTTCCCTCAGAACTTGGGCTTCCGTCCGCGCGATTTGGGCTACTGCCCACAGAATCTTCAGAGTCATGCTCCTCCTCCATTAGAGTGAAAATGCCCAACTTAGGGTATTTGTGTACCAAATGGTGAGCCACAATATCACCGAATAGAAGTACATCGTCGACGAATATCTGACGATATTCTTTGTCAATGCGGATCCCAAGAAAATTTATAAATGTGCCATTGCGGGACTCCTATGGATATTAGAGGATTAGTTGAGGGTTCCACTATCGTATACCGCATCTAACCAGATCCTTTATGAAAACACGGTCGTTTTCCACTAAGATATGGACATGCTTTCGCGACATATAATAGTAATGCATATTTATGCTGCAGTCGGGGTCGCGTCCTATGGTATTTTCACCTTCCTCCAAAAAAACCCGATCGCCCGTCTGCACATGCTCCAAATAGAAAACCATTTTCCTCGAAAGTACACCTAAAGTAAGCTCAATGAGTCCATCGTCCTTTTCTTCCACTTTGTTTTTTTCGCTTACCTGGGATGAGAAGTTATTTGATTATGAACACAGGTTATAGGATACTATTTTAAAGTCACAGAATTCTTGTCAATATTCCTATAAACTGAAAAGTCTAAGCCTTCTTTGTTTAGTATTTGTATTTGTATTGAAAATCTCAATTTGTAAACATCGTTTACAAATATTTCTTGGCAATGGATTAAAAATTAATTTATTTGCAATATGCCAGCCAAAACATTGATTATTTTGGGGAAAAAGATGGGATTCAGATTTTGGTCACAAATACAAATACCAGGGGTTTTTCAATCGTTGCTTAGCCAGATTTCTTAGGCACCCTGGATAGTTAATGAACGATTATGTGATATAACGATATATGAACAATAGAATAAGAAGTGAGAAAATATTATGCCAGCAAATAAAGCTACTTTGTGTTTGATTGTTTTCTCCTTTACTTTGGGATATAATACATGTATGAGATTTCAGAACCTCGAATATGATTAAAAAGATAAGACGACTTTAGCAAATAACCCTCAGAGACATTTTCGATATATGGCTTATGATGTTTCTTTAAAAAATTCACACGTATGAGTATGATTTGATTTGTATAATATGGTTTTAGCTGTAAGAGATTTTTGAAAATGGATTGTTTGAATTTAGAAAATCCTATCGCTGTTTTAAGCCCTTCACTTAATTAGTCCTGCGAGTCCTCACTTTCCACGACCAATCACCCATGCCCCAATCCCATTTCCCATTCCCCATCTCCCTGCAATTGTAATCCCTCTTCTTCGCCCGACACGCGCCATGCAGCAACTCGAGTTGAACGTTGATGAATCGTCTGCACTTTATGGAAGGCAAAAACATGTTGACGGCTCACTTGTATCCTATATCCCGGCACAATCCCTTGAGGACATACCCTGAACTCATTGCCTGCCGCCCACATGCCTGAAAATCCTCGACTAACAAGCCATATTAAAAACGTTGCGACTGCAAGTGGAGAAATCTAGATCCAGATGCATGCAAGCATATATCAAACTGCAGTGGCAAAGATTTCAGCCCAACACCCCCCTTTTGAAGAACAGAGACGTAGTTTAGGTTAGTGGGTGTCGAAAGGGGGGGAGCTTATTACGTTGTTTTATTGCCATCTTGAAGACCAGGATCAAAGGAAGGGCAAGAACGAGCAAAACAGTCAACTGCAACAAGATTAATGAGTTTTTTTAAATTTATTACTGCCGCTGCTGACTCACCTTCTGCTTGTTCTTGTTCCTATTCTGGTTCTGGGATCTCCTCCCCGATTCCTGGAATGCACAATAAGGTTATAAATTTCACAACTACTTGCTGCCATGGGAAACCCTTTGAAGTGTCTCATTTATTATGCGATTGCCGCCGCTGCTGCTGCTGCACTTCCGATTCTCCGATTTCCTATAGGAGTAAAGTGAGGCTTTATGGAGGATTCCATCACCATCGCCATCTCCTTTCGCCATCTCCTTAAATCAGGACTTTGGACAGCGCCCAAAGAACTCCTGTCTCCTGTCAGCATCAAGCTAAATTGTCATCAAGGGCATTTTAAAATCATTTTTCCCGCTCACTCTCAGCAGCGACTTTTTCGTGTTAGTTGAAAATATTTCGACGTCCAAGTCACGTGATTAATTATGTTCCCAAGAGGGTCTGCTGGGTCTGCTTTGTAGTAGTAGTGGGGTGTGCTGCAGGTGGTCCACCCCAATCCCAGTCCAGCGCTGAGGGACAACACAACTAATGTGAGAAACGTGTCAGCTTGGTCCACCGGAAAGGAAACCAGATTTGCTTGACCATTCAGCGGGGACCCAAAAAATGCTTTCCCTCATCTGAAATCAGGTCATCATCGGGTTTCCTGAACGCTGGACACTTAAGACCTCTGCAGCATTTCTTTATCATTTGATTAAGAAAAATTTGCATGACAAACGCAGATGGTTCATCTGGTCTCATTGATATTTTTTCCATTGCCTGCCCTCTATCATTTCAATTTTATACAAATTGCTTGGCCTTTTCAAGCTATTATTATCTATTTTCAAAATTTTCTCATCGTTTTTTTATAGAAATAAAATTGGGATAAAGTTTAGGACCAATAGGTATGTTCTAGAAGAATAGCTAAGTTAAAATGGTATTTCCAATAACTTCATTATTATTTTTTGGTAATGGTTTATTATCTAGAGTGTTCATTTTCATAGGACGACTTTTTTGGAACATTTTTTTCCCCATACAACACAATTTCCATTGAGCACAAAATAAGATTGAACAGCGAGCAGTTGTGCGTTAATTTGTGTCAAGGTTTCATCCGCTGACCAACCATTTCCCCTTTGAGCGTTTCGCGGTTTGAAGTCCTGGTTAATTTTTTCTGTCCCTGGGGTCATAACCCGGCTCCCAGCCCCCAATCCCAATCCCCAACTTGTGCCCCGGGCTACTGTTACGCCTCCAGCTTGTGCGGCGAGTATCAATTATCGTTCATGGCGAGAAATGCATCAAATTGAAATGTTCATTCATGCATTTGCCGGACTGGCAGTATAGGGCGTTACTGGGCTCCCAGGCAAATGCTGTCGTTGCTGCCATCCATCGATCTGGGCCTAGACCCCATCACACCCCCCAAGGACCCCCCCAAAAACCCCTTCCACACCTATTTTTTGTTGCTCCGTTTTGTAGGCTGTGGCAAGGGTTCAACGATTTTCAGTTAAAAACCATTCGAGTGGATGAACAATATTTATTGGTTTCCATGTAGGTCGTCTCTGTCAGGGAGTTGCTATCATTGTGTGTGTGTGTGTGAGTGGGTGTGTCAGTGTGTCTGTGTCTGTGTTGACCATGTCCAAACTTCCGGTGGCAAAAGGCGGAAAAGAGCTAGCCGTAGGTGAATTGAACCGAACTGGTCAGTGCAACGACGGCCATTAGATTCCAGCGATCGGAGTCCCTTGAAAATCCACTTCATTATTATAAGCAGTGGGAATTACGAAAATAGACAATTGTTATCTTGTCCGATAAGTTATCTTGGAATTAAAATAACTTTTTGTAGTCTAAGCCGTTTATTTTGGTCATAAACACAAGGATATTTATTGAATTTTTGTCAGGAATTTTAAATGAAAAATCAAATTTATACAACAGATTTCAATTTATCGTTCCAAAATTATACCAATTCTATATTCCATTGGATTATTAAATTCCGAAGATTTTTGATGTATTTTTTATATTATAAGAATAATATCTGTATTTAGTTGTTCATTTTATTCGCTTTACCAAAGAAAAATATTCAGACTCAATGACTTTTCATAAAAATAGAAACTATGTACAGTTCCACAAAAGTACATAAAAAAATAAAACTCTTTTTTTATAAACTCCCGTGGTAAGGCAGTTTAAACAAGACTTTCTTGCTTATACTCACAAAAGTTTAAGTTGCTGCTTTGCTTTTTTCTCCCTTTATAAATGTCGATATCTACTTAACAATATTGCATTTTTCAATATCAATTTAACATTATTGAATGCTAAAGGTATCATGTTGATCCTGACACTTTTCTGTTCTGTGTATATTAACATAAATGGGTTATTTAAATTACTTCGATCAAAAGTTTGTATGCAATACGCAATAGATGGTATTAACATCTAAGAAATATATTTACAGCAACCTAAATAAATATTTTAGTATAAGGAATTATTGAAGAGCAATTGCATTAATTGAGTACAAATGCCAAACAAATATGACCAGAAAAAGGGGGTCATGTTTAGGTGACGAAAACTCTAGTTCTATTTATGCAATCGACTGGATGCCTCTTCTGCGGTTTCCAATGGGTGGTTTCTGCGATGGGTGCTGTGATTAAAGGACACCAACCCGCCAACCGCCGCGGATTAGTGGGAACGGGAAATAAACACACAAATACGCACTCACACTCTGGTATATTGGTGGCAATGCAATGTCGGATTTGCGGCCGCGTTTTCGACCCCCTTGCTCCTTTTCGCCTTTTTTCGCTTTTTTTCAGTGGCAATTTTCATGTACGGCCTATGCCGAAGCTCTCGTGTGCGATTTTACGGCTTCCGGTGGTGTTTGTGGGGGGTGGGGGTTGCCGGTGACATCGGACAATATAAAACCGTCACCCACAGAGGCCCCGACCCCCAGATCACCCCCTCCAACCACGGCAATTCACCCTTTCATCCAGCGCTATAAAGTTCAATCGAGTCAGTCAACAATTGGCACAGAGAAAAATACACAGAGATACAGATACAGATACATGTGTGTCTGTCTGTCTTTCTGTCTGGCTGTTGTCAAAGTCAATTGGGTGGCTCTGTGTGTGTGTGTGTGTGTGTGTGGGTGGTGCTACCACCCACTGCCACCCACTGGGTGGAACCACTCAAATGGACGGTGATTTTGGCAAAAGGTTAAAGTTTTTGCCGCTCTCGATTCTTTTTCACTTTCGGGTAGGCTCAATACTTAAATACATTTGATTGTAATTCGCTTTTAAATTCGATTCGATGCGATTTGTTATTGGACGTAATGGTCCGACATCTGAGCTCGCAGTATCTGTGCCGAAATGTGTATTTGTGTTTTGGGCAGACTGAGTCCGGGGTCCATTTTGGTTATTGTCGGGTTTTGTGGGGGGTTTGCGCTCCGGGTCGACTTACATATGTGATTAATGCGGGTCGGCAGTCCAGTGCAATGGGGACTCCGGCCGACGATCGTGTGTGTGTGATTGCCGGAGGTCCTCACCTTGACTTTATTTATTCCAGCTAGTTCACTGGGTTCTCTCTAAGTAGGTGTTGGTAGAACGGTTTCTCTATATATGCTCTTACGGTTTGTTAAATTACAAAAAGAAAGTGCAATATAATTGTCTAAACCCATTTTGAATAACGATTAGTCAAACGATTGAAGAACTTGTTAAGGGCGTTGCCACCTAATTTAAACAGAGTTAAGTTGGTTGCGCCACTGCCATGAACTTATTCGATTGAGCGGAACTGTACCTTACTCAGTTAAGTTTCTAAGTGCGAAAGAATCTATTGTGTTCAAATGTAAAAAGAAAATGAAATTATGCGTTTTACCATTTTCAATAACAAATGAAAGCTATTGAAAAACTTGCCAC